ACTTTCCTTACATTACTCCATCTGTAATAGAGTGACTATAGGACCAGGTTGATATAACACAATTTCATACAATATATATAATTAGGGGGTACCCGCTCCATCTTGTCATCAGTTTGGGGGTCCTTGGCCTGGAAAACGTTGAAGACCCCTGTCCTAAAGAAATTAAGACTGGGTGCACAGTAGCACTGAATATAAAATGAAAGAAATGCATCCGTACCCTAGTTGTAGCCCCCAAGTTGCTTTATTCACCAAAAACAGTGAGTGACGATTTGGGCCACACATCCTTCCTCAGACTCATAGATAGGTCAAGATACTTGAACTCCTCCATTTGAGGCAGGAACTCTCCTCCATCCTAAAAACTGATCTAGAACCATGGCTTCGGACTTAGAGGACCTGATCCTCATCCCAGCCACTTCACCCTCAGCAGTGAATCTCCCCAATGCATGCTGTAGTTGTTGGCAGGAAGGAGCCAGCAGAACCCCTTCATCTGCAAAAGGCAGAGATGAACTCTGCTTGTTAACCCCTGCTTGGATCCAACATGCAGCGGGTACATCTCTGACTCAATGCCGGCATGTGGACCAGACTCCTGCTACACTTGTATAGAGGCCCCTCATGAGGGACACGATTGAATGGCGTCTCCGCAAAGCTCTTGTGGACCAGTTGGGCAAGCTTCCATGAACCCTGGATCACCCTGCAGAGCTGGTCCAGACCTCCACTGGAAAATCTGTAGATATTTTTATGCTTTTCTGGTAGGTTACTCGTCCAAAATGATGCCTCTGTTGAAGCTTTCAGGTCGCACTTTGTAAAAGTGCTGCCTTTGCATCTGTAATGGAGAGCAGGCAGCACTTTTAGGAGGATTTCTCGTTTAAGTTTGGTTAGGTCTGTAGCAGGACATGCTAGCCAGCTGGACTGATACATCTTTTTTCAAAGGCTGGATTAACAGGATTTGTGGAAAAGGGATAGAACCAATAAGATGGATGTAACGCAAAAATGTCTTTTGAAAAGAAAATCTCTTACAGCAGCAAGTTGTTGAAGTTTTAAAGATAAATCCTGTTCATTCAAAAAAAAAATAGAGCATCATTAAAACATTGCCTTGTTGCAGTCTTGATTCTTATGGTTACAGCACTGTAAAAATGATCTCAAAAATAAGTAAAAATGTCTTAAATTAAGTGTATTTACGTTTAATTTGAGTAGGTAAATGAGATGATTTGCCAATGGAATGAGTATTTTTACTCTTAAAATAAGATATTCAGATAAAATGCACTTGAAATAAGACAATGCAATTGTGTTTTCTTATTTTGAATGTAAATTGTCGTTGTCCATTGGCAAAATGTCTCTTACCTTCTCAATTCAAGAACAAATGAAAAAATTACTTATCTAGATTAAGATTTTTTCCAGTGAGAAAAGCAGTGTTGCATTGTGGGCAATCCTGGGCTAAGCATTAACTCCCGTCTCCCTCACTGTAATTGGTCCGTTTTACACAGTAGAGTCTTAGCTTCACCAGACTGACTGGTGAGACCAATAGCATAACGTTGTTCTGGGTTGTTTTTCGCCAGAGCATCTGTTTGGTCCTTCAGATCGCCATCTTGGCCAATGTAGATGCCTGACCAGAACTCACGTTGGCGATCTCAGATAAAGGCATGCTGTCTTCTTTTTCACTGCTGCAGGTGGAGTTCAGAGGGCGACAGGAGCGTCTGATCCGAATCAGGAACCCCTGGGGTCAGGTGGAGTGGACCGGAGCCTGGAGTGACAGGTCAGTGTTTCACAGGAGAGAAAGTAGATTGAGATATGAGTTGAAACTGATTCAAATCTCAATATTTCAGCTCCTCAGAATGGAACTACGTCGATTCTGCGGAAAAGGATGAGATGCTTTGTAAGATGGAGGACGGGGAGTTCTGGTAGGTTGGTTCTGGGAAATACCTCGGAGGATCTTAACTCTATACTTCACTAACAGGTTGGTCTTCTGTTTCAGGATGCCTTTCCAGGAATTTCTGCGTCAGTTCTCCCGTCTAGAGATCTGTAACCTGACCCCAGATGCCCTGAGTCAGGACGCCACCAGCTTCTGGACCACGATGACGCATGAGGGCAGCTGGAGGAGAGGAAGCACGGCCGGAGGTTGCAGGAACCACCCGAGTGAGGATAGAGGCTGTTTTGTCCTGGTTTTAGAATCAGGGTCCAGGTGTTTACCTTCAAGGCACTTCTAACAAAAAACTACATTTGACATAACTACATTTCCCACTATGCCTTTCCGCAGACACATTCTGGATCAACCCTCAGTATAAGATGACTCTGTTAGAGGAGGATGATGACCCAGAGGATGACGAGGCTGCCTGCAGCGTCCTGGTGGCACTGATGCAGAAGGACCGCCGCCGGTACCGCCAACATGGCCAGGACATGCACACCATCGGTTTCGCCATTTATGAGGTCAGCGCTGGTTCTAAGCAAGGACAACTCTTCCTCTGCCACAAAAAAAAAAAAAAACAGTTTTCTCTGAGAACTACAAGATGTTATATCAGCAGCTCAGCAGGTGTGAAATAGTCCATAATAGAAAATGTATCAGCAGGCAGTGGTTAGAGTCAACCAATCTTTTGTTATTGGGGTGTAGAGAGACGAGATACTGGTTTACTGGTTGTAGGCCATCATCACCATGACTAGAATCAATGAGCTTAATGAAAAATACCACTTAACCAGAAGAAAACTTTGAAGACATAAAGGAGAACACAATGGCCTAAGCGATGACCCTCCATCCATCATCCATCAATCCATCATCCCTCCCTCTCTGCCTCCCTCCCTACCTTCATCTGTCCATCCATATATCATCCATCCGACCATCCATCCATCCATTTATCATCCATTAAGCCATCATCCCTCCCTCCATCCATCCATCCATCCATCCATCATCTATTGATCCATCCATCCATCCATTCATCCATCCATCCATCCATCCATCTATCCATCCATCTATCATCCATCCATCTATCATCCATCCATCTATCA